CCTGCTGAGCAGCTCTCTCGTGATTAGTATGACCACTGCTTTGGAGTGTAAAACCAGAACTATACGAACCTTCCATGTTCCTTGTTAAAAGTTACAAGAAAAGCACACAGATCACTGCAGCGACATCCTGGAAGACCAGTTATAATGGTGATGACCACCTAAAACACGGGGAACAGATAAGAAATGGGGCAACTTGAAGACTAGAAATGAGCTACAACAATTGCACACACATAAGGCTCGCTATCTTGGTAAAATCTTAGGTCTAAACACCAAATTAAGTGACACTAACCACAGAAACAGTAAGGTAGTGTAGACCTTTAATTATGTTTAGGCAATTACTCAGATATGCATCATTTTAGAAAGATGTGTTTTCTCTTGGTTTTCATACCCTAAATACAGTGAAAGGACAATTAACGAATACAGCAGTGTTATCAAAACCTTTACATTAAAATCTAGTCTGCAGTGTAAGTATTAATGCAGATGTCAGACAAAACACTGCAAGAGACACCAAACAGGTTATGCTTCCTATGATCAAAAGGGTACATTCAAATACATAGAACCCTATCTGAGTAAAATGGTTCAAAAAGTGATGCTGTGTGTCAAACAGCCTTGTCAAACACAAAGAGCAGCTCTAGGTTTCTGATATTGAACTGCGCATGCTGTACACAAAACCTGCAAAGCTGCGTTTTGAGTAGGATTGGCAAAAGGCTGCACAATAACAGCTCTAAAATACCAACAGCTTCTTCGCATAAAGCACCTCTGTTTCCATTATGTGTATTTCTTGTGGTATTTAGAGATGGATCAGAGGAAAGAAAGACTGAAAGGAAGTCAGAGCGTATCTCCAAAGTGTGTGTGTGTGTATATACATGTATTTTTATAGATGTGTGTGTTTCTATGCTGTATACTGCAGTGTGCTACACAAGTAAGCAAATGAGCTCTGGAGGAAACACGACTGAAGTAACTCTGCTCTGTGCTGAATCTGACTTAAGAAATTAAATCACACTGGTAACAAGCTATCACACTGCATATCATCCTGCTACTAACAGACAAATTATCTCTTCCAGTTTCTAACTACATGATAGTTGAAGATAGCCATCTGCAGAATATTTGTATCCATTCCTCAAAATCACTTTTGGATGCCCACAAAAAATGAGTGTTCATGATAACAGATACAGAGAAATTAACTCAGAAAAATCAGAGGTACTAAGTTCAAGTGAAATTACAGAATTTGGTATGAGTGTTATTGAAATATTTTGAAATATTTTTATTTTTTCAAATACACAAAGACACCTAATCAGATTTTAAAACATTAATAAGGGTTTATTAATTAATACTTTATTTAAGTATCAGTATGGTCTCTGAACTAGACCCCAGGAAATAAGGCTGCCACCATATTGCAATATGCAGGAGAAAGACCATATTCCT